TCATACTTCTTTTTTTTCTGAAGAGACAAAAATAATTCTAAATTAGTATATTGTAAAATATGTGAGCTTAATTATTTAAAAACTAATAACAAACTCTATGTATATATCTAGAAAGGTGAAAATATAATAAGTATAATAAACCATTTACGAGATAATCATAATATAATCAAGAAAAATTATACTTAACACTTGAATAAACATGACGAGATACAATTATTTTAAATTTAAATATTATTGAATTTTAAGAATTTATCTAATATTAATAGCTGCTAATTTATTTATTAGTCAAAATTTAATTAAAATAAAATTCCCAATTATTACAATAATGCAATAATAGCACTATAATGTTCAATTAAAAGATAAGACTTTTTAGCGAGAAAATTAATACAATTTATTGTTCATTTAAACTTACTCCTTTATATTTTAGAGAATAAGTTTTTTCATGATTTTATTTTCGCATGTAAGCTGGGATTTTTCATTCCATATGTTAAAACTGCTAAAAGGCTAATACATAAAGTATATAATTGGAGTTATGATCAACTAAGCTTATTACTTCAAAGTAGCATAATAAGTATTCATTTGACTACTGATTTATAGACTACAAAGTCCTAACATGATTATTTAGGTATTACAGCTTTCTGGTTATCTTCTGATTTTAAGTTTTGAGAAGCTTTTCTTTTTTGCAACTATCTTTCATATCCATATACTGGAGAAGTAATTAGTGAAAAATTATTTAAAATAATTTCTGAATGGTGTCTTCAAACAATGGTTTTTATCATTTTTACAGATAATGATTCTAATATGATAAGGAGAATAAGATTATTAAATAATAATTATATTAGTAATATAGAACGTTAACCTTATACAGCATATACTTTACAATTATCAATTTAAGAGGAACTAAAATAATGTAAAGCTATTCATCATTATGTCAAAAGTTTGCAAACTTTTTTTCGACTTTCTAAGCAGACTCAACGTTTACGTAAAATGTAAAATAATCAAATTAAAGGAGATTTTATTCAAAGTCTTCTTGATCTTTTAACAGATATTAAGATACAATAGAATTCTATCTTCTGGCTTAAAAGTGCATTCTAAAATTGCATAACTCAATGAGATTTATTTTAACTTTGCTTCTTTCAGAAACAGATTGTGCTTTCAAAAAGAAGATGAAAAATTAGAACAGCTTTGCTTATTAGTTGCAGAAAAGAGTAATACATATTTTTTTTATTTAACTTTATTATCAATTATTTTATTTTATTTTTTAATATACAAAATAGATAAATTTCATATTTTAAATACAATTCAAATTTTTAACTCTTATTATTTATTTATTTTATAGATTTATACAAAATGTAATAAAACAATTAGAACTGATCAAAATTATGACTTAGTATTTGTGTGATACAAGCTATTTTACTTTTAATCTTATTCATCTTTTTATGATATCTCTTAAAAAACAATTTGCTTCAAGATCAGATAAAGAAGAGACAATTAAATCTTATCTAAATCTTATCTACGAAGAAAATTATGAAGAAAGTGATGATAAAATAACTGATAATGATATATCTACTGCTGATACTCAACAATAATAGCAATATGCATATCGACAATTTCATCAAAGAATGAAAATCTGCGACTAAAGAAGATAAATTCGAATAAGACCAATTAGAAAATAAATAAGAATTGAAAGTATTGAAGATAAAAATCAAATTAAATATTTACTATTAGTTGATATTATTAGATTGATTAAAAATGTTCAAGCTGTAATTTATTTTTCATTAAATGAATTATAGTCTGTTCTAACTGATAATACTTTAATTGTCATGTTTTTTGATCTGAGGTTTAAACATTTTAATTAGATAACTCTAGATAAACGTGATAAAGTATTTTAATTAGTAAAAATAAAATATTATGTATTAAAATTAAGTCTTCATATTATAGATAACACAAAACTGACAGAAAATAAGTATCAGAATAATGATGACAATAATTTTTTTCACAATCTTGAAGGTGATTGTATACAAATGATTACAGATGATGATGACAAAATATCACACTATAAAAATATAAAGAATATTAAAATTAAAAATGATCCTTTAACCTGGTAAGTAAATTATAGGAATAGTTTTTCCATTTTAATGTAACTTGCAAGAAAATATCTTTTGATTTCAATCACTTCAGTGTTAAGTGAACAATTATTTTCTGATGCTGAAAATCATATTTCTGTAAAATAAATGTGCTTATTACCTGATTTAGTAAATAAGGTATTATTTCTAAAACGCAATAATATTCATTTTGAAATGTTTCCACCTTAAGAAATTTAATAATTAACACTTGTTATTATAGTTAATACTTAATAATTAATTCTTTTAATTTTTAAATTTTAAATTTTAATAATTTTAAATGTAATAGAATTACTTATTAATTAAACATTTAAATAATAAATAATAAATATATTAATTGAATAATTAAATTTTAAATTAATTATTTATTGATTTAATCTACATTTTTATTATTATTTTTTTTATTTATTATTTTATTATATTACAAAAAAGTAATGATAAGCTATAAAAATATATTGATAATCAGTTTATCAGTTTCTCATTTTATCATTTATCAGTTTTAACTGATTTATCGATTTATCAATTCAAACTGATATATAACAGTTCCAATTTTTATAACATGAATAAAACCAGTTTCTAAAATTAAAACTAGTTCAACCTTTAATAGGGATTATGCAAATATCAATGAAAAAGATCAATCAAATATCTTTTTAATATCTTTTCATTATTTATTACTTGTAATTGAAAGTATAGAAAATTTTAGTCTATATAGAAGATATTGGCAATTTTCAATAGAAAGAATATGTAAAATACTAATTCTATTAGTTAAATCATAAATACATTCTTATGCAAATCTTTAGAATAATATAATTTTAAATGAATAATTCAATTATTTAAAATTTAGATAAAGAAAAAAAGATATAAACTTCTTATAGAATTTTTAGTTCTATTTTATATGATGAATATGAATTTTATTCACTATTCAAAAAATATGGTTTAACTTTAGCAGAATTAAAAAAATTGAAGGATATTTATACAGCTATTATAAGTTAGAAAAAAAAAACAGGTAAAATTTATAAATCTGATATCTAACACTAATTTTGTTTTAAAATAGGTTTGATATGCATATATGAATTTTAACTAGTGCTTAGCGTAAATCAGAGACCTTTAATATAAATTTTAATTCATACTATATGAATTAATATGAATATTAGTAAACAAATCAAAATATTGATATTTTCTGATATGTATAAAATATTTTATTGATATTAATATTTATTTTTTTTTGATATTTTTAGTATATTTAGCAATAGGCATACATATAAAATACAATTTTGTTATAAATAATAATTTAAATAAAATTTTATATAATATTAAATATTGCAATCATTGATAAATAAAAGGTTTTCTGATAATATAATACTATAGTATAATATCTAAGTAATATAATATAATACAAATTTCAATTATATGTAACAAATTATTTGCATTTACTCAAGATGATATAAATTCAAAATAGCCTATTCTAACATATTACAAGGTGATTTAAAATTATTTTCTACATATAATTAGTTATCATACCACCTTTTTCTCGTAACTTTTATATTTTAAATATTATTTTTTATTGAATTAGCATGTCGCAAAAGTTTTTAAACCTATAATAAATTTAATTAATAAAATGTAAAGAAGATTTTGTGCAATTAAAAAAAGCTTTGATTTAAATATTTAACTTACTCTATTAGACCTCTATTGCTTATTTACACATAAAGTATATGATTTAAGCTTTTTTTTTGACAGATAAATATTTCTATCTTTTTCTTCTTGTACTTTCTCTATATCTGATTCAGAAACTTTATCTGAATGATAACCTAAATTACCAATAATTTTTTTTTAAATTTTTAATCTAATTATTTCATAACAATAAAGGTTATAATCTATAAGCATCTGATCTTTATTTTTTACCATATGCTAAAACCCTCTTTAGCGTCTTTCTTTCTTCTTTTATAATAAAAATATTATTACAAATATAATTATATTAATTAAAACTAATACTTACGTCTTTTTTTCTAGTATTTATACTAGTTCTTTGTTTATTTGCCTTCAATTTCAGAAGATCTATTAAAATAATATATGTATTCCTTCAATAACGATAAAGATTCTATAAAACTTTCTTTATTTCTATATTAGTATACTGAAATTTAGGATTGAGTGTTTTCTTTATAGCAAGAATGCTATTTTAAATTGTATTCACCTCAATGTCTGTCTAATGATTTTTATAGTTTATTACTAAAAAACTGTTTAAACCTTTTAATATTTGTATAATATTATCTCACAATAAAAAGTAAAATTAAACAAATAAAATAATTAAACACCCTTTATTAATATTTAATTAACTTATACTAATTTAAAATAATTTCTTATATTTGTGATTCATTAGTTCTAAAACTTTCTGAGCTTTATATAGATATAAATATAAGTCTTTTTGTAAGTTAAAAAAAACAGACTAATGACTGTATAAAAATCTCTCTTTTGTAAAAGATAGTGTAATACTACTTTTTATCTTGTATACTTCTCTTATCTCTTTATTTCTTATTTTTTTTATATTTTATTATCTTATTATTTTCTTTTTATTTCAATAAAGTATTTCTTATTCTATATCGTAAACTCTTTATAATTATTGTGAAAACTTCAACTTGTGATTAAAGTTGCTTATATTTAATAAACTTAACTTAACTTAATAAACCCAGTAGTAAAACTATTAAGTCTAATGTAAAACTAATTAGAATTATACGTAAACTATAAAAGAGTCAGCCCTTAAACATCATGTCTAACAGTTGCAATTTGAAAGATTGCATGTTAACATTTAGCAATAATGACAGGATCTTCTTCTCCTATTTCATATTACTACAAAACTGAAATACCTATTGATGTACTCTTATGAATACGTTTTATATATTTGATGATCTTTTAAAATATTAAAAATTCATTATCAACTATACGCTAAAATCAACTGCAATATTAGAACTGCAAAATCACTCACTAAAGATTCTTTCTGTTTTACTTATAACTCTAGTACTGATTTCTCTGAATTTTTAAAAGCCTTTCAAACTTTCTTTAAATGGGCTGTTAACAATCTTAAAGCACAATAATATATAGATAAAAGTTTAACTGCATTTGAGCAAGCTATCACTGTGCTAATTATTGATCTCTAATGAGTATGCTTTTGATAAGCTTTATGCTCTTTCATTATAATTAACTACCTCTTACTACAGTTAGCCTCTTTATAATGAAGTAAACATCTAGACTAATTGGACTTTTATTATAAAAAAATTTAATAACACAATAATGAATAATTCAGTATATTATATTGAATTATTCATTATAGTATTATCAATTTTTTTACATTATATTATATTAAATATTTATTATACTAAAAATTTAGAAATTATATTTATTATAATACAATATTAGGCATTTATATTTCAAAAAAGAATCACACACGGTATATTATTAAATGTATTACAAAAAGAAATAAAACTATATTTAAACATACCCTAATTAATATTTTCGCTTAATTACTATTAACAAAATTATCAAGATTTGTTTATTTTGCAGAAATAAACTGTTATTTCAAGGCTTTCTTCTTTAATTTTTTAATGAGTTTTAATTCTTCTTTTATCATATCAAAATAATCCTCTTATTATTTCAGATATAAAATTATTTTTTCATAATATTTAGTAGCTTTATTATGAGTCACAAGGGATAAAGAATCTGAAGATTCTTTTATTTTTATTTCTTGGTTAGTAGGAAAAACTGCTTTTAAAATTTTCTTATTAGACAAAATTTTTGTTGTAATTTCATCATTATCATATTGAACAAATTCATTAGCTTCAAAAGGATCTTCAATATCAACCTTATCAATTAATTCTTAAATTTTATCTAATTATTGTAAATGTGTATAATAGACTTATTTATCAACATTTATATCAATTTCGCTATCATCATCATCATTAGATAAAATATTTGCCTTCAACTAACAATTATTAATTATAACTTATGTAATATTATTTTATGCATGTGAAACATACTTGATATATTTTTTAATATCAATATTAATAGGCTTAATACTGTATTCATTATATTTATCAAAAACTTTAAGTCAATAATTATGTAAAAATAACTTTCGATATTGTGCCTAAAAAAAATAAAATTATGTAAATAAACGTAAACTTTTAGTGAGAATTTTTACAAAAGTTTTGCGTGTGCATTTAAATAATATAATAGAACAGATTTTGACTATATTATATTTCCAATCTATAGGTTTAGAAATAGGATATATACTATATGTGCAATTTTCTATTCTGGGGGAATATCTTCAAGTGTAAAGCATCTTTTAATAAGATCTCAGAGAAGTGATTGCATCAGTAGATCTAGATACTTTAGGCCTGCCACTTTGTTATTAGGAAGTTGTGATAGAACTTTTAACTATTCTTCTAAAGTAGGTAATTGTATGATATTAATAAAATATAACTTTAGTATATCAGACTTTAGTTGGTATTGTTCTAACCATCTTTCAAATAGAAGGGTGTCAGAGATGTTAAAATAGCATAGTTTTGAAAATAGTCATTAACTTTTTATTTGATAATATTGGGATCATTAATTAGTATATGCGAGTCTTTTGCATCTTTAATTACCAGTCTATCAATTACAATTAATTTTTTGTACCTTTCTAAAGTTAATTAGATCATCTTATCTAGGTTAGTATCAAATTGTAGATAACATTAATAAATATAATACTTGATTTTGTATAGCTTAATTTAATTTCTTCTGTTTGTGATAACACTTTGATATTGTGGTATAGTTTGAGAATAGTTTTTTTAGTTTCTTTTATATTTTTCTCATAGATAATAGCTGGTAAATTGGGTGATAAAATTGTTAATGATCTGAGTGTCATTTATTCATTCATCTCTTATGAGCTATGTTTTTTGATTTTATTAGTTTTAACTTAAATTTGAGAACAATATTATTGAGGCTTTTTAAACAGCTATAGAAGGTGACGATATTACTGTGTTTCAGTTATTTTTAGTCTGCTGAGACCTAACAAAATGATAAAGTTCTCATAGCGATACTCATGATAGAAATTTTAATCTCTTTCTATATGTGATTCATCGTATTGTAGGTCTGAGATAACAAAGTCAATTTTTCCATGTAGTATTACTAGTAATATTTGTCTAATGATTCTATGAATACTGTTCACTTGGTAGATATCATAGAAGTCAGTTTGAATTTCTTTTTTTTGTGCATTTTCTTTTAGAATTTGCTTTTTGCATAGTCTTAAAATTGGCAAAGAAACTTATTAAGGTATTATGATCTAATTTGTATAATAGTGATTTTGAGAGGGTACAGTATAGAAACTCTATTATAAAATTTAGCAAGATGAAGATTCCATTTATTCTATTGGATAAGCTATTATCATTATTGTTAATATTGGATGGGAAAAAAGTAGATAGGTTATCTTCTAGGTTGTTTTTTTAAAGATTTGAGAAGTTTCTTTATAAAGTCTATTAATTAAATGAAATTCCCATTCTATCTTGCTATAGTTTTTTAGTTTACTATAGTAGATATTAAGGTTAGTATTAAAGTCACTTATAATTAACACATGAATATTATCTTTGATATAATTATCTATTAAGTCTAGAATTTGTTTTTGTAGAAGTCTTCTTTCATGTATATAGGAAAAATTTCTAGTATTAGCTTAGATATAATATGAAAAGATTCTTAGTTTTAGGTGTCTCTTAGCATTATATTTATATATATTAGTCTGAGAAATACAAAGTTTGTTCTAACTATGTATTTACTCCATTTTTTTGAAATAAGTAGATACACTCCTACATATGGAGTTGATGATTCTAGATTGCTCCAGTAATAATTATATAAAATGTATTTTTTAAATTTAATAATGGTATTTTTTGTGTGTCTTATTTCAATTAGACTGATTATATCTAATTCTTTAATTTTACAATATTCTAAGATTTGGTTAGCTTTAATTATGTCTGTGAATTCATATATGCTTCTAATATTGTGGGTAGCGATCCTAATAATGTCACTGTTTATTATCTTTTTAATATTAATATGATCTGGTATTTAGATATTATTGTTTATAAATTTATTGTTGAATCTCTATTATTAAGGAATATTTGTTTTTTGTATATTGATAAAAGTTGATATATTATTTTTGTAAGTATTGAAGTTCCCGTTATTAGTAAAAAAACTCTAGTTCATTGATTCACCTGATGTATATGTATTATAATTTTTGAGCAGGCTCACTATTATGATTAGTGAAATTATTAAATTGAGTATCCAATTGAGCTAAGTATACTTTGATCTAATTCTTGTAGTTTGTTTAGGATAAGTGTTAACAAGTTATTGGTTGAAGCTGTATTCTGAAAATTATTATTATTGAATGAATGTTGATCCTTGTAGTTTGTATAACTGTATTGTGTTGCTGTGTTGACTTTCTCTAAATTTTGGTCCTGATACTGAACAGTGTCTTTAGAATTGATTTTTCTTTGAATGTATAGTGTCTTATTAATTTTATAATTGTTGAATATATTACGAGTATTAGAGAAAATGTGTAATGATTGTTCTATTTTATCATCGCTATAAACTTTATTGAGTACTCTGAGTCTTTTATTTAAGATACAACTATTGTAAGAAATATGTTAGTTATATATATTAGTCATATTTTTTTCTATGTAAAATGTCATGTAAGTAATATTTTTGTAAAAGTAACATGATCTGACCTCAAAATATTTAAGTGTTCTAAAAGCTTCTATTGATATTATTTTATTAGAAAAGCCTTTAAATCCTGCTATAAAGTTATTTTATTGTTTAAGTTCTTCGATTATAGTGTGATGTGAGCACATTGAATAACTTATCCGTTAATATTATGTGCTCATGCTAAATTCATCTGTTTTGATTTAGTTAGTTTTTTAAAGAAAATGATGATATTATGAGATGATTTATATCTATATCTATATTTATTTTCAATATTTTTAATATTTCTATAATATAAAAACGTACAGAAAATATGATTGTTATTTATATTAGTTGGAACTGCTTTGAGTCTGTATATGAAAGCATGATTATAATTATTACTATTATTAATTTCACAGTCTAGATTAAATAGAATGTCAGAGTGTTGTATAATAATATCATCTATTGCTTCTAGTAAGAGTTTTCTATTGTTGAATTTGATAAAAATTTGAGCATTGCTATTATAAAAATGCCAGCCAATATTTACAAAACCTGATTTTTGTGCGAAGAGATTATTCAATAGTTCTAGTTTCTCTTCTCAACTTTCACCTTTTATTGTAAAAACTAATATAAAAGCAAACACGTGATTGGTCTTATGAGTAGATTTTATATGTGAATTATTATGCATTGAATGACGTAGGTCATCTTTTGATAACTGTCTATTATTTACTTGATTTGGATTGTATAATAATACATTGATAGTGTCAGGTAGTACTTGTTGATCGTTTATAGGTTGTTGATTATGTTATATAATAAGCGTATATGTATTTTATTTGGTAAAGGCAGTGATATTTATTACCTAATAAAATTTTATTATTAGCATCTACTCCCAACTCTCAGATAAGATATTCTGATTACGTGTATATAGATCATTTACCTTTTATAGAATCATACATCAGTTAAAAGAAATAAATTAAAAAATTTTATTATTGAATGGCTTAAATATTTCAGTGAGAAAATTTAAAAGATGTTCTAAAATAAAATTATATTATAAATAAATATTTTAAAATCTAAAATCGTATTCTAAAAATTAGTTTTCTATAATCATATTAGTGTTCTATCAGTTATACACTGATAATCATGCGAGATGTATCTCATGATAATCACATTACTGTGAAAAGAAAGTTTTTTGCATCTACAAAAACTAGTTTCAGATCTCTATAATGCATTCAATTTTTTTAACACTTTCGCTGCAAAACCTTTTTCAAAAAAAAGCATCAATATTATATTAGAATAAAATAAATCATCAAATCTTTTTTTTAGCCTTAAGTTTAACAAGAAACTAATATATAAGTCACTAGCAAATAAGTATCAGGATTTCACAAATGCTTAT